ATCCAGAATACCAGGGTGGTTGAAAGAGCTTCATTCTTCTCCAACAGGAGGCATTCGAGGTATCTTCACATATATAAGAGGTTGTCCGAGAATATTTACTGAGAAGGTAATGAAGAGGAATGTGCAAGACTTCGTTGCCAAGTGAGAAATTTGACAAAAGAATAACTCTCAAACTTTGAGTCCAGTCGAATTACTTCAACCTTTACCCATACCTCAGCATGTGTGAGAGGATGTAAGTATGGATTTCATTACTAGCCTTCCTAGATCCCATAAGTTTGATATTATATTGGTTGTGGTAAGCGTCTTACTAAGTATGCACACTTTATCCCACTTTCTCACCCTTTTAATGCTAAAAACGTCTGTTATTTTCACTAAGGAAGTGATTAAATTGCACGGTTTTCCTAAACCTATTGTGTCTAATCATAACCGGGCGTTCATTAGCTAGTTTTGGAGGGAATTGTTTAAAATGGCAGGAACTACATCATGCTATAGCTCCGGATACCATCTGAAGACCGATGGGCAAGTGGTGAATACGAGTTTGGAGGCATGTCTTCATTGTATGGCAGAGAAAATCATATGCAATGGTTCCGTTGGCTAACTTGGTCTGAATATTAGTCTAATACATCCTTAACAGATCTGCGGGCATGACACCCTTTAAAGTATTGTACGAGAGGGATTCACCATCAATTTTCCACATGGATGACATTTTGCAGTGGAAGAATTCGTACTAGAAATTTAATCTTAGCTAAACTCAAAAATCATCTAGTACAAGCACACCAAAGAACGAAGAATCAAGTTGATCGATATCGCAGGGAAGTGAATATTGAGGTTGGAGAAATGGTGTATCTCAAACTTTGGCTCTACAAACTACGTTCTTTGGCTAAGAAAATAATGAAAAACTCGATCCTCGCTTTTACGACCCTTTTTATTAGGGTAAAATATTAGTTAGAGATGGGAGGTAGAAGTGGGAGAGGAGGGGACTGCTGATAGTGCTTTTAGTCTTAGTCAATGTTGGAGTTGACCAAAATTTAGATCAAAAGGCATTTAGAAGAAGCATATCTTATTCACAGAAGTCTAGATCTGTTCCACCTGCTCAAGCTCAAGGCTCAAGATACCCATCTTAGGCTCTTCTTTAGTACCTCTCCCCTCTGTCCTGGTCCTGTTGTATTCCAAATGTAGGCTACAATTGCCTCTTTTTTGATAGGTTTTGCAGTTGCATCTCTCTTTCCTTAACTTGATCTTTCAGCTAAAGCCTTCTCTACCCTTGTGTCTCACAGACCCAACTATAGCAACTAAAACTGTTGTATCTCATTTTCTTTCTCTACACCAAAGGAGGGGACTGATCTGTATCAACCCAACCCCTATTTTTGAGTATTGATGTGTCGTTGCATGATTTAGACTTCCTATAAATTCATAGGATGTTTTTGGACTTGTGGGTAAGTTTGGATTGGGACCCGAGAGGCTCGGGGATGTTTCGTCACACTTGGAGCAACATTGCGTGTTACGGATTTTTCTATGGTTTTCTCTTGCACAAACGCAGAGAGAAGCGACACAATCGTGATGCTTTGGAGGGCTAGGTCATCGTGACCGCATGGAGTTGGTCCACAAATGCAAAAAGTTGGGGTCAGCTTGGTCAACCTCCGTTCAAGTCTTCCACGCGACTGCGACGGTGATGTACTTTCGAGGTTTTGCACCTCTCAAACACAAATAAGAGAGAAAAACAAAAGCATCCCGCTAAAGTTTTTCACAAAACTAGCGAAAGCATCAAACTCACGTGAGAAGAATGTAAGATGAAAGAGACCCTACCCACTCGTTTTTCAATCCCACACGATTGCAAGATGCGTTGAATAAAGGAAGAAGAATGAAATAAAAAATCAATCACGCTTTTGAAGCTAATGCTCAAAAAAACTAATCACCAATGACTATTTTCAGCATATTAAGCCCTTTAAATAAGCCTTACAATGAGTAAAATTGATAAGGTTTAAGAAAACTAATCCTAATTAAACTAGAATAAGAATAAGGCTAAGAAAACCTATCCTAACTAAAAGAGGAAAAAGAATTCTAGCAGGAATGGGATACCAACTAACAATCCTAGTTTGACTAGAACTACAAATATAATCCTACAAAAACAAAAATTAAATTACTAGGAAACAAGAAACAAGAAATCCCAATCTTTAAGGAAAAGAAATCTTAATCTTGAATGGATTCTTGGACTTCTTCAATTTCTTGAAATTCTTGGGCCTCAATTGGACCAAGGCTAATTAGTTTAAGCATTTTAAATTCGTGGCCTAATTCTCCAAATCCATTGGCACCTTCATGAGCCAAATAAGCCTCCATTGTTGTAAAAAAACATGGCCTCCATATGTTTCATCAGACGGTATGTGACTTGATCGCAAAGATCTAACCTTCTATAAATCACGATTGCGTGGCTCAGGGGTCGGGATCACAATTTGTATTCCTGTAGCCTATAAAAAGTTGGTATCTTCAGCAGCCATTATGGGCAAGTTTTAGGATTTTGAGCTAATACATAGGATTCGAAATGGAGTTTTAAGCTACGATTGAGGTATGATTTCCCTACACTAATCTTGACATTATACCCAATTTGAATCGTTAAATCATGAGATTCAAAGGCTAAAATTCGATATTTTAGACCTACACCTATAAATGATAAAATGATGATTTGACCATGCAAATAACATCAAATTTGAATTTTGATAAGGGATTTGGATTCCTTAGCTTATGGGTAACTAGGTTATGAATTTTGTTTCGAGATTTGACTAGTTGATCAAAGATCGATCTTGGAGTTGACCAAAAGTTGATTTTGACTTCAGAACTTCCTAAAATTATGAGAATAGTTGTTCTGGACTAATTTGGACCCATTATTCATGATTTTGAATAGATTGAGGTAAACAGAGATCTTTTGAGTGAGTTTTGGAGATTCAAGTAAAGGGGAAGTTCCCATTTTTTTAGGCATCTGAGACTTAAATTCTTAGTTTGCTTGCTTTTTCTTAAAAGCATGTTATATCTGTTGCTTGTATTAAAACTACCTTGTTCTTGTGCGTGGGTGAGCATGAACCTGCTTAGCTAGTTTTGAAGTTTCTATCTTAGACAGAGAGGGGTCCTAGCATGAGTATACATTTTCATGATACTTTAGCATACTCATGGCCCCATAGATGGGTGGAGCTTGAGTGAGCGTACTCATAGCTCCACAGAAGCCAGAGGAGCTTCAACAGTGCTTCAGCATGTAGCAGCATTATGTCTACTTTCATTAGTTGTATTCAGGATCTCTTATTCAGTTTCTTTACTTGTATATCATTTCTATACTTGTATTGCTTTGCATTGATATATTCATGCACTACCAGCGACTTCCAGTCTCGCCACAGGGGTAAGCTGGGAGAGCGAGTTGATGATCTTGCTGGGTCTTTTAGACTCACAGTTACTGCGTGTGCACAGGTTCCAGCCGGGAGCAGTGATTCCAACTCTTCATCAGCCATTTAAGTTGAGGTGAGCCACCACTAGCTCGTGGAGGCTGCTTCATCTATTATCAGATTTTTATTATTTCCTTTGTTTTGGAGTTGCGTCTCGCATTAGTTATCCTCAGATTCTAGTGCTCCATAACTTAGTTGGATTTGGGCTGTATGGTTTGTTTTGATACTTGTACTTTGTTTTTTGCTATCTTTATCTACTATGAGACAGTAGTATTCTCCCATTCTCTTTTCAACGTTACGAGCATGCTTTAGCTTAGAGGGTTCACCTAATGGGTAGTTGTTCATTAGGTGTCCTGTCATAACCTAGATCCAGATTTGGGTCGTGACATGATTCATACCACATAGCTATGAATTTGAAGTCAAGACAAAGATGGTTCATACACCACTCTGACTTAAAAACATTACAGTAATTCCACTGTCCCCTTGACTCTTCAAAATCACACTCAGATAGGAATGCAGATCACTTCACTTTTCAAGTTTAATGGGAGATGGTGGGTCATCTTGAGCTATTCGCTAAAGTCAAAAGCTCATAAAATTTCATGGTTCTTTCTATTCTTGTTTCTTCAAATTTTTGTGTTTGAACCTCATAGTGTGATTTTCATCTACAGTAAATACACTAAAGCACAAATCTATTACTGACCGTCATAATTTCCCTTAGTTAACATATTCAAGAATGGAGGTTAAATTAAGCCACCTTAGTTCAGGAAGCAATAAGGAAGCTCAGTAAAAGCCAAGGAGTGGCTTTTTTCAATCTTAACTGAAAGCACTTGATCTGAATGTCAGTAGTATAGATCCTAAATTTTTCTTTTTTTGGGGGATAAGCAAAAATTTATGACACTGTAATTCTTTGAAGCACACATTTTTTACTTAAACCTCCAGGTAATACAAGGAATAGTCATATTTCAGAGTAAGCAACAACTCTTTCAGAAGCTTCTCTACATTTTCATATGATCTAGCTAAGTCTAAGGGAAATATACTTTTCCTATTTATTGTACTGTAAATGTCATGTTTTCAAATTCAAATCTCGATCACTCATGAACAGCTGAAACAGTTGGGCAATATATAATACTTCATTGTAAGGAGAATTGCAGCTGAGCAGCATAGAATAGCTCAATCTGAAGCACAACCCAAGAACCCTCCCGTTTCCTCATCACAGAAAGTTATATACATTCTGAGCATTATCTTTCCCAAGAACAAAGAAAAGCTGCTATTCATTCACACAATTGTAGTTGGTTCATAACTTGATTCATCTTCAGCCCAATATCATATAGAGGTCAAGCACGGCCAATAGTTTAACATCTCTAGCATAAAAGACAATAATCCTCCCTAATACGCAAATTTGTACATAGAATGGCCAAAAACAAATAGCATAGATCGAACTAATCCCAAAAAGACTTGGCATGTACTCCTCCAAAATTTTGAAACCTCATGCTTAAATTTGAGCTGCCACTATAGTCACTAAATTTTAAATAGAGGCACACTGAGTTGAGTATATTATCTAATTCCCCTTACCTCGGGAACAGGCTGTTGTATCACTGACTCTACAGCAACAACCATAGAATGCACAAAATCATCACCTCCAGTACCAATAGCTGTAAAGCCTCTTTCAGTGGGGTAAGAATTCACCTTTAAGTAAAAGAGCATTATAACAGATGTTAGATGCAAACCTTCTATTCTGAATCTTCTAATGGTTATCAAGTTATTTATCATTTCTACAAATATGAAGCATTTGACATTATCTTCAAAGCTTCAACTTTAAACCATTGTCTAAACTTCTACATTGTTTTATGTTACGAAAAATAAAAATTGGTGACGAATCCAGGAATTTGCACCTTCTTATCAAGAGCAAGCCACTCATTAGTTGAATCATTATGCACTGTGCCCCCAATGACAACATTAGTAGTTTGTCCAACTCGCCCTTCTGTCTTGGACACTTCTGGAATACCCTCAACGGTTAGAATTGTGAAAAAGTTGCTCATATAATTAAAAGAAAGAAGAAAGAGAAAAACAAATAGGTTTAAATACTGAAAAGAACTTCAATACCCTGCTAGGCACCTCTAAAGAAACTAGAAAAATATTATCTTAAGCAATTGAGAAACAGACTAGCTCAAGATATAGGTTCATATTCTCTACTAAGTTTTAATCCTTCCCACCATTAAGTAACTCTACGGTGTACACATTTTTCTGCACAATCAATCTTCTTAAAAAAAACTTTAGGTGGTAAAGTGAAATTCCAACGCATAAAAGAAAGAGAAAGGGAGTTTGGGGTTAAGAGATTCCAGTAGCTAAATAAGTATAACAACATTATGCCTCAATCCCAAGCACTTGGGGTCGACTATATGAATCTCACTGTTCATGAAGCTCCATTTAAACCCAGTAACTAAATAACCATAGCAAAAAGAAATATATTCATACATCATGTTAGCAAGTTTTCGGACACTGAAATGGATTTGTGGGCATACCAGAAAAGATAAGATTAGGAATGAAGATATTCGGGACAAGATGGGAGTGACCTCCGTGGAGGACAATATGCAGGAAACGAGGCTGAGATGATACAGTCATGTGAAGAGGAGAAGCATAGATAACCCCAGTGAGGAGGTGTGAGAGGTTGTCCCCACTACCTGAAAGGACTATGTCCCCCCCCCCCCCCATAAGGTACATCTCGCGCATATGGGCCGCTATAACTATCCAAGAAGACACTCGAAACTGGAAGGAGAGCTAGAGATAGGCCTAATAAGTATTAGGGAGAGGTGATTAGGCAGGACATGGCACAGCTCACCGAGGACGTGACACTTGATAGGAGGGTGTGGAGGTCGAGAATTAGGGTAGAAGGTTAATAGGTAGTCGTGCGTGTCTCCATTTCATTAACATAGCTTTAGTATTAGTCTTGTATTTTTGTTTTTCCTTACTCGCAGTTTTTCATTCACTATATGCTGTTTCTTTTGCTTCGGGTATTATTCTTTTGTCTTATTGTTGTTACTGCTTATTGTTTCTGCTTCTTTTCATCTTTTCATCTTTACTTGTGCTGAGAATCTATCAAAAACAACCTCTATACCTTCTCAAGATAGGGTAAGGCTCTGTATACTCTACCTTCCTCAGACCAGGGGCGGATTTAGGGGGCGGAAGAGGGTCGAACCACCTTCGCCCGAAAATTACACTGTGCATATAAGGCATAATCTGTTTTGTAACTCTATATATCATATTTCGAATCCCCTTGACACAATTGAAAAGCATAGCTCAGTGGTCAAAGAGGTTCAAAACCTTTGTAAGGTCACTAGTTCAATCCCGCTAGCCACAATCTCTTTTACTTTTTTCTTTTTTGAACCCCTTATCGAAAATCCTGCCTCTGCCACTTTTTTAACTTTTTCTTTTTTGAACCTCTTATCGAAATCCTACCTCCGCCACTACCCCAGACCCCACTTTGAGGTATTACACAGGCTTTTGTTGTTATTGTTGCATGTTAGCAAGCTTTGTTATTTTATATATTTGCAAGTTATAGTACGATCTAAGCAAATAACTACTTCAGGAGACCCCGAGAAATAAATAAATAAATAAATAAAAACTCAGAATCAAGCTCAAACAGATTATGGCAAAAAAAAAATAAGGAAATTATTTAGTTGAACAAAATATAATGGTTATGGACCTGAAATGGCCTTAAGGATAACTTCTTGAGGAGGACCTTGTTCGAGATCATCTTGAGAGGAAGATGGGTTTTCGTTATTGGAGCAATTGAGAAGCTGACTTCTTCGCGGGAAGCGATAAGTTCGGGCGTAAATGAGTTTACAGCCACAGCACAAAACGGGTATGGAGAAGGATTTGTGGATAGAAAACAATACAACGGGAAAAGAGGTCGGAATACAGGGTTCCTTTAAGAATACTGTTCTGAACACACTCCTGCACGCCATTGTTTGATGATCCTTCTAATATCAGAGCTATTATGCACAGAAATGAGTTGCGGTAACTGTTGAGTGTACGGTTTTGCCCCTGATTTTTAGAGTTTAGCAGCTTTTGCTTGGGCCACGTCCACCCGAACCACGGTGATATGCACAAAATAGGGTATCATCACCTTTAGCCTGCCAGAAATTATTTAGCCAAAAAAAATTATACTATAAAATTATATAATTTTTATATATAACATACAATATATATATTATATTTTTACAATGGTTACACGGTAAAAACTTACCCGCAACACCAAATCTAGTTAAGTTAACCAATAGAAATAAACAAAAGTTTATTAGGAGTTTTAAGTCTATTAGATGTTTTAATTTTAATAAACAAAAAATTTAAATAGGTAGAGAATCGGAATAACTAACGTTATCATTTTCTAGCATTCTTCATCTTGTGTTTCGTACTTTTATTTCTCCATCAAAGATCAAAAGAGTAATTTTAAAAGTTAGTACGGGAAGAAGGGGAAGTATAAGGAGTTACTTATATAGAGGAGGAGTGTCGAGAAATAACTAAAAATTGTGAAACATTACTAAATTTTATAAGGCTTTGGAAAAACCAATAAAGATTGTGATTATTATAATACATTGACAAAAAATTTATTTGATTAATGCAATAGCAATGATCTCACCTCATCAAAATAAATTTTCTTTGATGTATGAAGAAAGAAGGAGATTTGGGTGCCCTACTATTTTATAAGTACTTCATTTGCTTTCTACGGCGGTTCATTCTTTTCAATTTATTTAACGAGTTAAGATTTTAACAGAAAAAGCTAGAATATTAAGTAATTAGTATTATTTTGACATTATTATTTAGGATTATGTGCAAAACAAATGAGAGTTAACTATGATTAAAGACCATTAGTTAAAGCTAAATAAGGTGGCAAGTGTCATTTATTTAGTGGCTTGGTGTAAACACTCGGCGCGGGTAAGTTTTTACACCAAATCTAGTTAAATTAACCATGAGAGATAAACAAAAGTTTATTAGGAGTTTTAAGTCTATTAGATGTTTTAGTTTTAATAAACAAAAAATTTAAATAGGTAGAGATCCAGAATAACTAAAGTTATTATTTTCTAGCATTCTAGCATTCTGCATCTTGTGTTTCGTACTTTTATTTCTCCATTAAAGATCAAAAGAGTAATTTTGAAAGTTAGTATGGGAAGAAGGGGAAGTATAAGGAGTTACTTATATAGAGGAGGAGGGTCGAGAAATAACTAAAAATTGTAAAACATTACTAAATTTTACAAGGCTTTGGAAAAACCAATAAAGATTGTGATTATTATAATACATTCACAAAAAATTTATTTGATTAATGCAATAGCAATGGTCTCACCTCAGCAAAATATATTTTCTTTGATGTATGAAGAAAGAATGAGATGTGGGTGCCCTACTATTTTATAAGTACTTCATTTGCTTTCTATGGCGGTTCATTCTTTTAAATTTATTTAACGAGTCATTAAGATTTTAACAGAAATAGCTAGAATATTAAGTAATTAGTATTATTTTAACATTATTATTTAGGATTATGTGCAAAACAAATGAAAGTTAACTATGATTAAAGACCATTAGTTAAAGCTAAATAAGGTGATAAGTGTCATTTATTTAGTGGCTTGGTGTAAACACCCGGTGCGGGTAAGTTTTTACTCATTTTTCTGCACAAATACCACACTTCGCTACTGTATAGGGTCAAATTTGACCGTCAGCATCTCTACGCCAGTGGGTACGCCCAGTGAGTGTACGCCGATTAGCGTAGCGGGTACGACTCGGACGTGGGGACAAAAGCGACATCGTTTAGGACTCAGTGTCTTCACTAGGGAGACGTTACCTGTCTTTGTAACTTTTTGATTCTTTCGAGGAAGGTCTCTTATTATATAAAGGAGACCTTCACATTGTAAAGGGGGGGACTCCGATATAATATAACTCTCTCATTTTCTGGCTTTCTCTCTCTATCTCTACCTCAAACGAACATATTCTATTGAGTTCATATTATCACTTTGCAATACTAGATCTACAACAATAACATCATCTTTGCATCTCTAGGTTTATTATATTTGATTACGATTTACCCTTTTCTTACTTTTGATTGTTTTCTAGCTTACAAAGTCTTGTTAACTTTTGAGCCGAACAATTTGGCGCGGTCTGTGGGGATTTCGAGAATCAAAATCATAGTATCCACCTAGAGAACAACCAACTACCATTCTCTAAACCACACAAACACAAAAGATGGCTGAGAATAACCCAAAATCAAAAGCTATATTGGGTGTCACTACCAATCTCCTTGGCCCTCTCAACGAGGCCAGTGACGATGGCATCCTGAATGCAACCCCTAGTATCACATCGGGTGCGGAGATCTCACCTTCCCCATCCGAAGATCTGACGATCTTGCACGAAAAGGGAGCTTCCACATCTGCGCTACGCAAGCACCCTCAGCGGTCAAGAAGCTACTGGAAAGATGGCTAACAAGCACTCTGAGTGGCTTGGTTGAGAGGTCACCACAAAGTAACATCAGGTGTACACCAACGGTAGATACCACTGCTGACGTGGGCGAACCGGAAGTTGCACTAGCAAATAACGAACCCGTCGAGACACAGACCAACGATGGCACGCTAACAACCATCCTAAAGAAGATGGAAGAAATGGAAAATGAAAACAAGGCGCTCCGCGATCAGATGAAGGAACATCAGGAGAGGGTCGACAAGATCCCCGGTGCCCCCAAGTTGCTACCAAAACGCGACGTGGGAAGGTTCGTTGAACAACCATACACTGAAGAAGCTGCCCCTCACTCCACCCCAAAAACCTTCAAGATGCCACCCTACTTGAGGGTATATGACGGAACCACTGATCCCGAGGATCATCTGATCCACTACGTCACCGCTGTGAAGGGCAACGACCTATCAAAGGAACAGGTACCGTCGGTACTGCTGAAGAAGTTTGGCGAGACGTTGACAGGAGGGGCTTTAACATGGTACTCTCAGCTACCAGCTAAGGCAATATCAACGTTCGAGGAAATGGCGGATAAGTTCGTCACAGCCCATGCAGGCGCGAAGAAAGCGGAGGCCAGGGTCAACAACATCTTCGCCATCAGGCAAACTACAGGAGAGGGACTCAGGGACTTCCTAGCAAGGTTTAAGAGGGTAAGGATGAGTCTACCAAATGTATCGGAAGGTATGGTAGTCGCCGCTTTCCAGAACGGGCTAAGCAGGGATGGTTCAAGGGCAACCAAGAAGTTGCTGAGCCGCCTCATGAAATATC